ATATTACTATATAGTTAACTACAGCTGCTATTATATGCGTTATTTAAATATAATATTATGCGTTTTCATAAAAATAATCGCATAATCTACCACACACCAATTATAATTATTATTACCTAAACTTCGAGTTATGATGCGTATATTAAATATTAATAATATGTGTGCCAAATTTCGGAGGACGTAAATATTACCGCTGCCTGTTTGATAATATAATGTATACCAGCTATCATGTAGTATGTACAATATACGCATAATAATATATAATTATGGAAAAGAAAGTGCCTATACCATACCGTGCAGCATGATATATTGGCAGTTTTGAGTTTCGATAATATAATGATAAAAAATAAGAAAATAAAAATAAAAACATCGATTAGTTTGTGAAAACATTAAGCCAATGCCCAACTCTATATCCTACATACGTATTTATTATGTTGGGTATAACGTACAATACATAATAATCCGGCTCTGTAAACCGGGTTCGATTTCGACATTTTAAAAATTATTTCGTACGGATACAAGGACCTCGAGATAAGCGGATAAAATGCGATAAATTACGATACTCAGCGGAGAAACTTTTCAAGTATTAAATGTTATCGGCGTGTACCGCTTATAATAATAATGTATAATATTAATGTATTATAATATTAATATGGTAAGACTGACAGTGTCTAGCCGTGATGAAAGTCCCCGCTGAAAACTTTTTTTTTTTAAATTAATATGAAATATTATTTGTCGGACGATTATAATATTATATCACTACCTACTAATTATATAGATAGGAATTGTAACTTACTAAAGAGCATAATAATATTATGTACCTAACCAATTATTATAATTCGTACCTAGTATTTTTGTTTTACATCTATTTAGGTACGTATTGTCGTCGTGCAGACAGCAGACAGAAGTCACACAAAAATATATAAATAATAAAATATATACTAATGCCAATGCGTGCGAACTTAGGTACCGAAATAATTCTTCATTGTTTTAAAAAGGGCGCGGGACAGTAAAATATATAAAGTAAATATCTACCCAGGTATATATACATATTATAAATATTTAACACGATATGAAATTAAAAAAAAAGTTTCCGTTTAAAAATCTGCAGAAGTTAGGTAAATACAATTTCCGAAAAAGTTAATATTTTCACGACGATAATAATTTATTGTTACCTAATAATATGCTTTAAAAGCTAAGTTAAGTGTTATGGTTATAATGTGGGGCATATAATAGGGCATTTAATATAATTAATGTGCGCGCACCGTTATATAATATACCCATGTATGGCCCACGAGTTTAACATTGTTCTGTCGTCAATATATTTTTCATACTTGTATATAATTAAATTGTTTTACAATCATTACTACTAATTACTGAACTATGCGGCTCAGTATAATATGGTACACTGTTTTTTTATTATTGCACTCGCGTACATAATATAATATTTTTTTTATGTGCTCGTGGAATGATAATGTCGTCGTTTGCGTATATTATAAAGACTCTGACAACTGTTTTACCCCTGGGACGGACGCGCGCCAATTAAATAATTATAATATGATTGTAATTTTGCGGAAAAATATTTTATTCATTTTGCGATTTTTATCTAACACATAATACGAACCGTCGATTATTTATCACCGGCCGCGGCCCTTAGGTAGGTATACAACTATATACGCTGCGCGTATAACATTTACATATAATTACAATGAATTATTTTCAAACAAATTTCTATGTAAATTCAAAACATAAATTTACAGGTAAATGTATTTAATATTATCGTTGTCGTTACTCCGTGAAAAACTCATTGAATGAGAGTATAATATGGACCTTTGCCCGCCCGTTTCTCTCAGGCTAAGAGCACGTACTGTCTTATGTGTACGCTCGAGCATACTTACCTACCCATATATCCTATATACATAAAAATGATACACCTAAACATTCTAAACGTATACGCCGCACGCTAATCGCAACACTTTCTGACTATATCATATATATTTTAGATATTAATGTGACGAATTTCACGAGCTAACATAATATTATAGTCACTACTTGGAGAAAAAATTAAGGCGGAACAACAAATTGGCCTTACCTGTGGATGTCAATCTGTCCTTTCTATCATTTATTGCCCTATATGTAACGCAAAACCGCGCATTTAAACCACTGTGTGGCGCCGGCCTTTTGTTTGAAAAAAATATTTTTTAAAAACGAGAAATATGCCTTTGCATATTATATATTCACTTAACATAGTATAATCATAATAATAATAATATGAAAGTATATATTATGAACAAGCCTCTTGTCTTATTCAGCAGAGGTTCTCAATCTTTTTATATCCAAGTGATACGTGCATAATATTCACAATGTTTTGAAATTTTTAAGTACCGCGCTCGACAGAGTGTAGGAACAAATACCAAACACTTCTAATTTTTTTATTAACGACAAATGTATACTATAGAGTATAGACAGGTTATTATAATATATGTAGGTATTTCCTACATATTTATAATATAAGAGCTTCGATTATTAACATCAGCATTTATTGCACGAAAGGTAAAATCGAATATTAATTTTTATTTTTATTTTTACTATCATTGTTTAAATACTTTAATGACAATCATTTTTGTTTTGTTTTAAATTAACAATAGGACGCCAATATTAGATATCCGGCTCCATATAGGTAACCTTCAATCTCAAATCATTCAAGTGAATATCGTAAACATGTTTTACAAGTATAGGTATACTTATTAATGTTAATATTATAATTCTAATTTTATTTTTCTCAAACCGAAATTTTCTTAGCGTTCCCCACCTATCCAGCTTTCCACTGAAAATCGATGAAATGGACTATTACAGAATACCGTATTTAAAATGACTAAAAAAACTTACTAATAAAATAGTACCCACGTTTAGAAAATTGCTTGGCATTCAGTTTGGTTGAATGGAAATAGTTTGAAAAGAGTAAGTTGTAGAATTGCATGGAATATAGAAAATCAAAATTATATAGATGAAAATATGAAATGTAATTATTATTGTTTGAAGACTTAACAAATGTCACGGGTGAAAAAAGTATTATATAAATGTATGATTAATATTATAATACATCACTTTTAAAATACGTTGTTCTTAAATCTAATACGATGAGGGAAAAACGGTAGGCGTAGTTAAATACCCTCAGATTATTCTTTGGAATACGAAAACCATACAATTTAACTTCGTTACGTGCAGTGTACACCATGGGTACGCTATTATTATTACGACACAATAACCTCTGTGTAAAAAGCGCTTATAATTATTTTATTATTAAAATCAAACGACTCGGTCGCGCACGTGTGTTTAATTTACGCGTACGTATGCTATACAAACATAATATTTTCAATTGCTCGTAAAATCCACTTATACAATCTCGGCTATTCAGTCGATTCAATTTCTCTTCCCCGCTACACAATCGAATTCGATTGACCAATCAATTTATTGTTTTGCAAACCCGAGCGTGGACGGCGGAAACGAATATATTAATTTTTATTAATATTACAATTATAATAATAATTAAGTGTTTTAGATTTAACATCGCATCACTCGACAATCGCAGTAAACTAATATTTTTTATACTAGGCGACATATTATTAAAATAGGCGACTCTCAGGCCATTAGTTACACTTTGTACTTTTTACATTATGATTATGTATAGGTAATACAATTTTATTACAACGATAAATTATGCATTATACATTAGAAACGTTTTTTTTTTTTTCAAATAATTGGTTATACAAATTAGTTTGTCTGAGAAAATTGATGAGAAGTCTCGGTTTTGTCCATGGTTGGGTCCAAGTGCGGCGTGTCAAGGTGGTTGTATATACTGTGATTTACTATGGTAAGTACTGGTGTATTAGAGTTTTATAGTAACACAATAATGCAAATATGGTGCTCAATATATTTTATGTAGCATGCCAATAATATTATATTAGGAATATAGAACGGAAGCAATATACATTTATTATGAGTTAATGGAAACAGGTTATGGTAGGTACGGCCATATCATCATAATAATATATACCTACGCTAAACGTATACAGATCCATATTAAGTATACCACATATATTATGATAATATTATTTTCTAAGCTCATATTATTTTAAAAAGATACAGCAGAGTGTCTGCGTCGGAAAAAAAATCGAAAACCAATGGAACACGCGGCACATACCTACCTAACCTTATCGTACGAATGAAAAGATATACGGACAATGTTGAATATATAATATTATTATATATTTTAGTATTGATCAGAGGAGTGGCAGTAGGTATAGTTATAGTTATAGTTGTCTACGGCGAGAATAGCGATGTATATTGTTGTAAAGTGATGAATACACGTATACCCACTAACCAAGAATTTAGTATCTCATTTATGTAGGTATAAATACACCGAGATGGGACGATAAACTTGGACCCATTAAGGTTGTCAGTGGAGTATAATAATAATAATAATACGTGCTATAAATATAATATCTGTATAGGCTTATTTTTTTCTCGTATTTAGACATCGTACTTACAATCTGTATAATATATTATTATAAGTACAAGGAACAACGTACAATTGAAGTATATTATATTATGAATGTGAAAACGGGTGGAAAACTGACAGCTGGCCGACATTAAGGAAGACGCCCAGCAGTGCCACATGACGAGGGATTGAGGTCCTAATTTGACGGAATTGTTTGGCGTAAAAGGTCGGACAGACTCGCGTTGTATATAATATATTTTGTTGTATGCCACGAAATAGGTGCGCCGCGTCGTGAAGCCGTTATAATAAAATATATTATAATGTCTGCACCACGTGTGTGGCGGTGTATCTGCAGGGATCTAGGAGCCCATTAGCGTTCTCGGAATACACACCTATTATAAAATAATAATGTTCGGCATACTTTCCGCACAACAATAATGGCAGGTCCGCATTGGTATTATATTTGCAGAACAATAAAAACGATCACTTCCGTTTGCTGTTAAAAAGGTCTATCAAATATAATGCTCCGATGCTTAAGTTCGGGGAACGGCACGGCGGCGCTACGTGTGAGAAATTCACTTTGGCGTACAATGGTACCGGTTAAGTTACCCCGTCCAACCCTAAAAACGTAGTCGTACAATAGCATCGGTATGTGTGGTTGATGGTTGTCCAAAACTGAAGCACAAACAACCGGGTCGGGCATCGATCGGCTCATAAATTTAGGGTCTACTGTCAACATTAACGACGACGTGGGCATTATTCTTAGGCGTCACTGACAAGTCCATCACTATAAGGAATATCATATAGCAGGACTCTATACAATATTATAATAACTAGGTGGGTACCATACCTACCTTAAAATATTTTCATCCAAAAATAAAATTCTAAACCGCATTGTGTTCATAGTGAATTTGTTTCTACCTATACTATAATTTGTGCGCATTACAATATTCTTTGAGACGGATGTTTTTTGTGTGTCGGCCGATTATTCGGGATAATATTATTTTATTGTATAGAATTTCGAGTCGTCGAGACTCGAGACTGGCGACATCGAACAAAAAAAGAGAACTGCAAATAGATGGAAATCCTTTTCAGCGTGGAGATAATAATAATATTATTCAGTGCTTCCTGCGTATCCTTTTTAATAGCGTCTATATATTATACCCGTTTGTAAAAAAAAGTAAAATAGGTACCCACCCGTATAATTGATTCTTTCGAATTGTATATTTTTTTTGCCGTACGTGCGTGCGGTATATAGGTACGAATATATTCCTACGCCGCCGTAGAATATAATAATATTATGTATAGGTAATAGGTACAAAGAATATTTTATTAAACAATGTTATCTATACTTATCGGCTCCGGTGCGCCCCGTACGATTACGACAAAAAACGCTAATCCGTGCCCAGATCTAACAATAATAAATAATAATAACACGAATATAATGCGATATATTATTACGTAGGTATATATTATAATATTACGGTGTATGCGGTGTGATTCTGAACGGTATGCGAACGTAGTCCACACACTATATACGAATTATACTCGACACTCGTTTTGCGGTTTGGGGGACCGCTCTCCTCGACCCCCCCCCCTTCGGAAAGGGCATCCGAAATCGCGATAATAAATGGTTTCTCCGGGACGCAAAACCGTCGTCTCAACGACTTACGACCTGACAGCGTGCACACAAAATTATATTATTCAAAGTTGAAAACACACACGCACACATCCATATGATACGCGTACGTGCTGATGGTCGAGGTGCATTATAATAGTACCTATATTGAGTAGGTATATTATGTGTGCGAAGCTCGCGGGCCGTTTGAAGTCTGTTTACGTTCCGTCACAAGCGCACCAGGTATAAGATTATATTATTATTTTTTTATAGGTATGCCGTCCGAACGTCGATGACGATAATAATGTAATATTTAAAAAAAAAAAAAAAACAAACCAGTTTCGTCGTTATTTATACTGTTCGCGTCGTCCAGACCGTAGCGAGTTGTACTCGACATTATAATATTATTATACTGTATAAAGGTAGGTGAGGTGAACGATAAGACGCGCGTAACTAATTATTATGAATCTAGGAATAAAAATCCCCGAAATAAAATCATAGGAAAAAAAGCCCTGTCATGGAAAAAAAAGTGCGTAAGTGGATGTCGCTCTGTTGTATAGTAGGTTACAAGTGGGTCACTGTAATGAATTTGAATTCAATGATATAATATCATTGTATAAGAAAAACGATTCTGAGCGAAAATGGTCAGTCAGTCTATGATATTACTAAGTATATTTGATGATATTAAGGTGAATAAAGTAATTTATAATATATATTTAAGTGGAATCTTGTTTTAAATTGTCAATCCTTAGCTATAAACGCAGAATATTTTATTCATTTTTAACTACAAAATAATTATTACATTTTAAATGTGATGAATTTAGTCAAAATTTAAACTTTAAATGCTTATAAAAAAAAATTGTAATTGGATTTTTAATTTTTTGAAATAATATACTAGGCGCCTTCTATTAAGTTTTCAAGCTTTTTTACCCAACAAATAAAGTTTTATTGACATTCATAGAAAAAAAAACTAATAAAATTGGAAACTACAAATGTCCCTAAACAGTTCAAAACAAATCAATATATTTTGAAAATTTTTTCATATATAGAAAATGCTAATAAAAATAACCAGAAAAAATTTCAAGTATATACACCAAAAACCAATATCGATTTTGTCGAAAACCGTTTTTGCGTCAAAATTCCCGTTTTCCCTTAATTTTTATGTGTTTTTTTAAGGCGCTTTTGAAAACTATTGGGAATTTTAAAATTTGACCTCCCAAATGCATTAACTAGATCTACTTTCCCATTGAAAGAGATACTGTTTAAGAAAATCCAAGCTTTTTTACTGCCCAAAACCGTAATGACAAACACAAAAAAAAAAAGGTGGGCAAGTGGGTGTCGCTCTGCTGTACAGTAGGTTACAAGTGGGTCACTGTATAATGGATGGTATTAAATTTGAATTCAATGATATAATATCATTGTATAAGAAAAACGATTCTGAGCGGTGATGGTATGTCAGTCTATGTATAAGGCATATTATATACATATCTATGGTATTAAACAAAAAATTGACCTATAATAGGTACCTATAATAAATTCCAAATTAATCATATCACAATATCCATTAGATACTTATAACGCGTTATACATCAACAAAAACCGTGATACTATCATAGATATATAATAGTACACTTTAGAAGTTTCAAGTACCCACGAATAGTATTATTCAATCACAACAAAATAACTAAAATCGTAATTCTTGGTTTAAATATGAAATTTTGTCTAAATTTGAAATTAAAATGTCTGTAAAAAATAAGTGTGTTTATATATTTTTTAGATTTTTTGGTTACAGTATGAATTATTTAAGAGAATCTTTGTTTTAAATTTTCAACTCTTAGTTATAAAAACTGAACATTTTATAATTTTTTAATTCCAAAGATTGATAATTTTCGAGATTTTGATAAATTTTGTCAAAATTCCAACTTTAAATGCTTATAAAAAAAAATCGTGCCTATGTATTTTTAATATTTTTCAACTGATATTGTAACAATATATCAGGAGCCTTGTATTAAATTTTTACACTTTTTGGCCCAACAGATAAAACTTTATTGATATTTATAGAAAAAAAAACTAAAAAAAATTGAAAGCTGTAAATGTCCATAAACAGCTCAAAAAGAGTCAAAATATTTTCAAAATTGTATGGTGTATATGAAATGCTAATATAAACATTCAGTGAAATTTTCATGTATCTACAGTTATTCGTTTTTGAATTACAACAAAATAAGGAAATCGCTACATGAGAAATCGAGTGAAAATCCAATGTTGTAAAAATTTGAATTTCAAACGCTCATAAAAATTTAATTTGACTGTCCGGTAGAGATTTTTTTATTGATAAAGGTAGATAATCTTATAAGGAATCTTGTGTTTCATTTTCAAATCTTAGATTTAAAAAGAAAAATTTTTACGAATTCTTAACTCAAAATAATTTGCTAATTTTCGTGATTTTTCCATATTTTGTCAATTTTTGAACTTTAAATGCTTATAAAAAAAAATTGTGACTAAGGATTTTTAATATTTTTCATCTGCCTTTGAAACAACATATTAGGAGCCTTCTATTAAATTTTCAAGCTTTCGCAACGAACAAATAAAATTTTATTGATATTTCTAGAAAAAAAACTAAAAAAAAATGAAAAATGAAAATGTCCCTAAACAGTTCAAAATAAATCAAAATATTTTGAAAATGTTATCGTGTATAGAAAATGCAAATATAAACAACCAGTGAAAATTTCATGTATCTACGGTCATTTGTTTTAAAGTTACACCAATAACCAAATTCGATTTTTTGGAAAATCGATTTTGCGTAAAAATTCCCGTTTTTCCTTAATTTTTATGTTGTTTTTCCCGGCGCTTGTGAAAACTACTGGAAAATGTTTACTTTTGACCCCCCAAAGTACCAACTAGATTCACTTTCCTATCAGAAAAGGTACTATTGAAGAAAATCGAAGCACTTTTACTGTCCCAAAACGTGATGACAGACACAAAAATATAAATAAAAATATAAAAATATAAAAATATAAAAATATAAAAATATAAAAACATACATCATTGTAAAACCAATACATTCATCGCTCCGCTCAGAATCTAAAATATATCATTGTAAAATCAATACATTCATTGTTCCACTCAGAATCTAAAGGCCCTTACCAACATGCACTAAACATCCTAAATATAAATTATATTATTTATATTACATTTAAAAAAATTTAAAACAGGTTCCACGTAAGTAGTTAATTCTGTAACCAAAAAATCTAAAATATATACATAATATAACTTACCTATACACAGTTTTTCTAAATATTTAAGTTCAAATTGGGTCAAAATTATAGATATTCAAACGAAGAATAACGATTTTAGTCCTGTGTAGAAATTTAAATATATTATTCTTAGGTGCTCGAAACTTCTATAAAGTATATTATTATATACGATTATACAAATATGTAATAATATTACTTAAACTTACGTCTCGGATTAGAATCGTTTTTTGTATACAAAGATATTATATCATTGAATTCAAATTTAACGCCATCCATCGCAGTAACCCACTTGTAGCCTACTGTACAGAAGAGCGTCACCCACTTACCAGATTTTTATTCAATTTCATAATTTATTTTGTATAATTTTAATATTATTTAATAACAATAGATAAGTAACTAAACATTGTTTTTTATTATTTAATCATATAATATATTTAAGTAATTGTATATAATATTATAATATTTTCAAAACTAGTTATATTATTATCTATCATAACTAAAAAATAGACAAATCATATAAGAAAATTTTTTTATTAATATATATTAAGTCACACAATACAATAACTAATGAGTAATATTTAAATAATAAGTATTAATTCGTATAAAATAATGTATCCCAAGACTATAATATTATAGGTATGGTTTATAATATTATGTGCATAATCAATATTCTAATCAAATTTATCTAAATTCTAATTAAAGAGAATATTTTTCCGGGGCTTATTTTTGCTTGGATTTTATTTCAGGGCCTTTTCGAGGGGATTTTTTTCCGAATAACCCTAAGAATATTACATAACTACGTAATACGTATATAAATCACCAGTATATACCAACGAATAATGGGTATAGTGTTATAATATGTGAATTGGGAGGTGGCGGCGGGAC